GCAACCCTCTGCGGAGATCGTGCGTGTCGAGGGTGCGAAATGCAGGCGAGAGTGCGAGTTGGTTGTGTCCGGCGCAACCCTCTGCGGAGATCGTGACGTTAATATGTGTCTACTTCACCTGCATGACAAACGATGTGCAGTTGGAACGCACGAGTCACTTGTCATGATCGAAACGTCGTTTGCTCTCAGGTCGCAGTGTTGGCGGCAACTTCAGTGTGAAATGTACGTTCTTCAGTTCTATTTGAACTTCTTCAGCGTTGTACTTGCACAGCTAAGGTTGACGTTGCGCTGCCGTTGCGTCGACGCATCTCCGTCTACATCCCCTCACCTCTCTACATTTACATCTTGACACGCTCGCATCCCCAGATCTACCTCTCCACCTCACCACACACATCTATATCACATCTGTACATCCACACTGTCGCTCCTGGACTTCTGTCCGGTCTTTCTTTCTTTCTTTCTACATATCGTTCTCTCGCCTTTGTACATTTACATCTTCGCACGCTCACATCAACGAACCTACCTCCCCACCTCCACACATCTACAGATCCATATCGCACCTGCACATCCACACTGTCACTTTTCGACAGTGCTGGACAATCACATGTCTCGCTCTCGGGCCACCCGTCGTCTAGTTCTCTTCAAAACGCTCCTTCATCCAAAAGAAAAAGGGCACCCCAGCCCCACACTTGTGACTGAGGGCCGGTCATATCGGCCCCGACTTATGCCTCCCAGCGCTTCCCATCCGCTTTCGTGTTCACCCCCGTGACCATATTGATCTTTTCTTACGGAGGCTGGCTTTCGTCCCCCCTTCTCAGGTATGTCTATATATATATATATATTGTAATTTTGTTGAACTCACAATTGTTGACCTTTTCCCGGGCCGGTGACCACTGATGAGAAATGACATGGTTGTTGGATGTGTTTGGGGCCGGGGAATGGGCTGAGGACGGCTTATATATTTACGTTTTTTGGGGGGCTGGCGTTCGATTTGTGATTCATGTTTTGGTTCAATCTGTGTTTCCGTTTGACTCGCGGTTCATCTATGTGCATCAAGAGCAGAGTCGGTCAGGTTTCTTTCACTGTATATTGTCAATCACCCTGGACCTAGTCCTGGACCGCGATATCTATGGAAATTTGCCATGTCATTCAGTCACTTCATCCTGTGGTGACGTGCGCGCGACTACGCTTTCAGTTTTCCACAAGGGCAGGATGTGTTGCCCTGGCCGACCGAGCGACCTTGGCCGTCCGTCTCGGACTCTCGTCCGTCTCAAAATCAGGATCCGATGGCCGACCTTTTTGGCCCAGACGCGTTGGACGAGGAAGAGCAACGAAAGAAGGACAAGAAGGTGGCGACCCCCTTGGTCTTTACATCGTGAACTTATGTATATATGTGATATGAATTGATATGATGTGATATGACACTGGTCCGGAAGATTCTCCGAGTTATTGCATATACATCAATTACATCAATGCCGATATTTGTATGCACGGTGTGCTTGCCCGAGAGTCCTCTAGCAATAAACTGAAGTTCCAATTGGTTTGGTGAGGATTTAAACGCACCCCTGGCCTTGATGAGGCGAAAGATAGCCACGGCCAGTCATTCACGAATGGGACTGGGAAGTGGGCACCATAGAATGCTTGGAGAGTGATAATGCTAGCATCATTGCTAGCATCCTGGAGGCAAAGAAGAAGGAGAAGAAGGATAAGAAAGGGAAACGCAAAGCCAAAGAGCTTTCCGACATTACTCCGGACGATCCGATGGACGACGGAGTTGGAGGTGTCGTGGAGCAAGAGGACAGGTGTCATTGCACTAACAAGGGTCCCACTTTCCTTGCACGAAGATGCGCAGGAAATTCCTACACATCTTCATGCAAGGAAAATTGGGACCCTTGTTCTTTTTTAAATCCCTGTGCAATTGCTAAGCCTAGCTCGTGCTAGCTGTTCACTTTCCCTTGTTTGGCAACTACGAGTGAAGGCCACAGAAACCCCTGCCCGGTTTTGCAGGAATTTGATCTCTTCAACGAGTTTGGTATTGACATGCAGGGCGAATCACCCGGCAGTACTGGGAAGGTTGCGACGCCAATTCGGAGGCCTGATGGGTGACTCTGAGGTCTAATTCTGGCCGTGATACACTCGTATTATTTCATGTGCTTTTATGCAGAACACCCGAAGAGCTAGACCAAGTCTCGAAGTCTACCAGCTAACTGTTTCATCATGTTTGATATTTGTGTGTGTGCCTCTCTCTCTCTCTCGTTCGTTCTCTCTCAGGGTTGCGCAGATCACGAAAGCTAGCACCAGCTAGCTGGAGTTGTCCTTGCTTTAGCAAGTGAGGGGCTGGAATCCTCGGGATCGCCGCATCACGTGAAAACTTCATATGTAGGGGGGGGCCCCCCCCCCGTGGGTTCAACTCTCCCCTCGGACGCCTCTGGGACACCTCTCGAGCATCTCTTATGGCATTCACTTTGGCTTAACTCCTCCAGGATACGGTGCAACAGATTCAACAAGCTCACATGTTCATGACATCGACATCGATAGAAGAAACCAAACAAATCATGCAAGCAGCTTTGTTTTGCCTCTGGGACACCTCTTGGGCACCTCTTATGGCATCCACACTGGTTCAACTCCTCCGTGGAGGTTTTGGGATAGGGTGCAACAGATTCAACAAGCTCACAGGTTCGTGAACACATCGGATGCATCGAACAGTGTGGCAAAGTCCAGCCACGCTTCCTTAATTATCGGGGACTTCAATTCTAAGGTTGGCTGTGTCATTGCTGTTTGTGTGTCTTACATGTTCACAACGTTTTACCTCATGAGCATTTGCCTCACTCCGCTTGATGTCCCACCAGTCCGGATGCACCCCTGCTAGCTTTCGTCACCTACCCTCGGCCTCAAGTGATGATGAAACGTGATTGGTCAAAAGCTTTCCTTGTCCCGTGCCATCAGGTCAACGAGTCCACATAGGCGGCGGAGAAAGAAAATGCAGGACGCATCAACACCTGACGCTTGGAAGCATCAGAGGAGCACCCAATCCGCCCAATCCCAGTTTCTTTTACTTATTTCATCTTATTTCACAATTCACCCTGGCCGCCTAAGGCAGAAGAGCAGGTGGATCTTACCACAATGTGGAACAGGGTCATGGAATCCATCAAGCCACGCAGGGGTGTCTTGGCAAGACGGATTGGTCGCTTGCGTGCCAAAGCTGATGCAAACCGAAAAAGACCGCGAGGCTGCCAGGGCATGAACAAAAGAATGCCATCGAATTAATGTTTCTTTTTGTTTGCCAAAGTTGACTTGGAGCAACAAGGTCTCGTCATCAAAGATGAAGATGCCCATGCGCATGTCGACAATGTCGTGAAGCGAATGGAAGCAGCAGCTGCTGCAGATTTAGAGGAATACCGAGCAGGTCGGCCTATGGTCAAGAAGCTGGAGTTCCTGCCCGAAGCCGTCGACGTGATGGAAAAATACCAATTTGCACATGCCTTCATCGCCTACGGAGGTTGTCGAGTCCTAGCCCTTTGGTTGCAGAATTTGCCCTCTGGAGCTTTGCCCTCGGTCCACTTGCGTTCGGCTTTGTTGCGCTGCATGGAGCGATTGCCCATCACCAAAGAGGATCTGAGGAAAGCCGGTGAGCCGCTGTTGGGCCGCATCGTTGCGCAGCTCCAGACGCACCCGGAGGAGACCATGACGAATCGCAAGCGTGCACAAGGCCTCGTGCAGCGCTGGCTCCGTCAGATTATGGCGCCAGAGTCGGATAGCCTGGATGATATGGGTGAGAAGGTGGGCACAATCCCGAGACCACCTGCCGAGACAGAAGAGAGTGTCGCAAAGTTAGAGGAGGAAAGTGCAAAGCGATTGCATCCAAGCATTCCAGTGATTCAAGCCAAAGACTATGTGATTCAACCTGTCTCTACTGCAATGCCGATCATTCGGGAGAAGCTGTCCATGGAAACCTACAAAGGAAAGCTCAATGAAGTTCTGAAATTCATGGCACGACCAAACAAGCGGTCATGGAAGCCCTTTTCGGTGTCTGTGGCTGGTCGGGAGCTAAATGCTGAATGAGCCTTCCTCTCGCACTTCGCAGCTGCGATGAAAAGGCCTTGAGATAAGATGTCGGATCCGTATGTTGAAGGTCTTTGCGTTGAAGCATTGCCAAGTATACTGCAAGTGTGTCGCTTCCGGTGTTTGTAATCAAGGGCTGCCGTCTCATCATGAAACTGTCCAAGTAACATCAAGTAACTATCCTATCCATTGTTGCGAGCTTTCTCACGTCAGACTCAAGCCTGTCCAAGTCTCAGCTTAGGAGAAGACTGCAGATTTGGCTGACAACTCGGTCTTGGTCATTTCGATGAGGCACACGGATTATTTCTTACATTATCTTTGACTGAACAGACTTCCCCGATGACTGGAGGGAGATCACGTCTTCAGACGTTCCCGAGGAGGTCACGGAAAAGGCACACGTGGTACGAGTACACAGTGCATGGTTGATTTTAGAAGTCTGAGAGGATGGCATTGAAGCCACTCGCGCACTCCAAAATCTCAGATGCCAGACCGGCAGACCTCGTGCCAACTTGCAGGAGCCAAGTGCGAGCCAAGGGCCGGAAACGACGGGAGAGAAGCCTTTGGAGGCCTGCGATCCAAGGCAGCAGGCGGCACTTTTGCCGCTAAGCATGGCTAAGCTCTAGAAGCATTGAGATGGGGATGGTGGAAGTACTCCAGGACGGCCTACTCCAAATTGTATCATAGGCAGCCTAAAACTCAACACGTTGCAGCGATACTTCAGTCGATACTTCTCGGAATTATATTCATGCAGTCAGAAGCTTTCAGAACAAAAGTGCCTACATCTCAACGGCGTTCGTTTTGCCTGAATAAAGGGCTTGTATGCCAGTGGCCATCAGCCGGCTGCCGGATTTGTACAGCACCCAATATATAGTAGGCACATGTCAGCAGATAAACTGCAAATAAACATCAATAAAGATACAGAATCAAGCCAACACCAATTTGCCAAGACAGGCGAACCCGCGCGAATTTGTTGTCTATTTCTTCCGACATTTTGCCAGACAGCTCCATCCATGCCAAACCTAGAGGCAGTGAGAGCTGCGCACCTTTGACTGACAAGAGCCAGTTGCACAACGCAATTTGAAGCAATTTGCTCGTTGTGAATGGCCTAGCCAAGCATCATTGTTGGTTTACCTGTTGTATTGCGGCACTATGTCAGACAGTTCTGTGTGCTCAGGAGCTTTGGACTTTTTCATTTTTTTTCCAATACACATTTCTTAGCGGCCCACCGCTAGCTGAGGTATGCACAAAGGGCGGTCTCTGCAGCCCCGCCTTTGACGAAAGCAGAGCGGCAATCGATCAGCCGGAGACGTCAGAGCAATTTCGTATCCGGAGGCATCCAGTTGGTTGCTGCTTGTTGTCGATCATTGGATCTCATTGGAAAACCATCATTCGGAATGCTTGGACGGGGTTGGCTTGCGCGCCAGCTGAGCCGCTCATGGCTCACGCATCGGAGCACAGTTTGGATGAAGTGTATGTATATATATATATAATATATATTATGTTTGTGTGTGTGTTTGTTTTTTGGCACATTCTATTCCTGTGGTGCATGAAAAGATGAAAACGGTCGCATGCGCCATGGAGAAGCAAGCTGACATGATACGTAGCATTTTACCAGATTCGTAGTCCATTATGAGTCCGTACATGTCAGTACCATACCTGCCGTCAAAAACACATCCGGTAAACATATGTCCAGCTTCATTCTCATGGAGGCTCGGCTTTGTTCAGAAATGGTTGTGGAGAATCTAAGGCGAAGAATTGCTGAAATCTTGGGAGGCTTATGAGGAGAACTTTGGTTCCTTGCATTTCCGCATCAGTGGACAGCAGTTTGAGCCACAACTTATGTCTCCGATGGTGAATGACCTAAATATTTTTGACCTCGTTACACAGCGCCCCCAAGCTTTGCAAACGCCCCCAGGTTTCATGACACACTGGATCGTCATTGGATGTCACGGGAGGAGCGCGGCGATTTGCTGCGATCTCGCTCCAATTTGCCAGCTGCAGAGGCCAGCAACTTTGGGGTGAAATTTCTCCAATCTATATTAAAGTCTCGTCACTAGCACGTGCCAGCGAAGGCACTCCAAATGCCATACTGTCAGAAATGACTGCCTGTCGTAAGAAGACCGATGATCGATGGATCCTGTGAGGTGCGAGCTCCGTTCTTGGAAGCTTTGGCTGCGCATCAAGTGGCATCTTCTGTGCAAGCAGCCAAAGAACCCCCAAGGAAACAGACAAGAGGAACCAACAACTGTGTAGGTCGGAAGCCCTCACCTTATCCAAGGAAGATGTGGATTATTTTGGCTGTCCCAGCGTGATGAATCAGTTTTCTGATCCCCGTTGCTATCGGCTAGCTAAAATGAGTGTGGTCGACCACGGAAAACCCATTTTACTAGACTCCATGTGAGTGCAAACCACTCGGACCTTTTCTCTTGAGCCAAACATCGCCAAGTTAATGGCTTGTCTCGAAGGGGCCTTTGAAAGTGGTTGGTACACTTCTTGGTTTGTGCGACCTGGTTCCGACTCGCACTCCCCCCGGACCTGTCAGGTCGTTCCGGTCAAAAACTCACATGTCCCTAGGCCCTCTTCGCACCAGGAACAGCGAGTAGCCGATCCAGCTTCCTGGTCCTGAGATTTCGCTCCGGTGCCAGTCGAACATAGGGAAGATCGGCACCTGCGCAGTCTCTTGAGCCCGTGGTGCTACCGGAGTCTGCTTTGGCGTTGCCGCCGTCCTCTTCAAGGCTGGTGCCATGCTCGTGCTCGGCTCCAAAGACTGTGCTCTTCGAGGTGGCGCTGACCTCGCTCGATGCTCTGCCAGCATCTCATCCAGCTGCTCATCCGCGCTCCTGCGCGCCTTCGACGCTGCACGGCGACGGTCCATGGCGGCCATCGACCAGTCCTCGACTGGGTGGACTTCCCGCGTCCGGATTTGGGCTCATAACCCATGTGAGTGCAAACCACTCTCTTGAGCCAAACATCGCCAAGTTAATGGCTTGTCTCGGAGGGGCCTTTGAAGTGCTTGCTGCTTGGTACACTTCGTTTGTGCGACCTGGTTTCCGACTCGCAGACTCATTTAGTTTAAGGGTATCTAAAGTGGGTCTTGTATGAAATTGTTGGCAGCGACAGGTTTGCAAACGTGTCAAATTAGCCAGTTGTTTTAGATGACATTGTGAGAACGCTGTTTTTTTTTTCACACGTGTCAGACCTTTTCAGATTAAAGGACTTGTGCAGACCTTTGGTGTGTGAAAGTCATTTCGTTTGTATACAGTAACCATTTTCTGGATTAAATCAGGGGGTGAACTTCTATAGTCGGTAGCAGCGGGGATATTTTCTGTGTTTTTGAGGTCGTTGTGGCTGGAGAGACAGGCTCTGGCAAGACCACCCAATGCCCTAACTTCATTTTGGAGGCTTGTAGTTGCTGGAGTGCTTGACATTGCCCAACTCAGCACAGGTTCACTCACAGCTTCAGCAAAGCATGGATGTGACATGATGTGACAGCGTCTTCACAATCATTGTCATTGTGTGAGTGTGCTTTTTGGGTTCCATGCGATCTTGTGATTCTAGAAAGGCCGGAAAGGGACAAGCGGCACAACACATCAAATTCAAATCAACGGGAACGGGCAGGAGTGGGAAAAGCCTTTGAGTGCATGATGTGAGGCAGCATCTGCAACAGGAAGAGGTGGGGACGTGTCAATTATTTGCACCCAGCGCCTCGGCTGCACTGACTGTGGGCACACAAACACACATATTACTGTAGATCATATTAGGTTCCACTCAACACCTGAGGCCTTGGACTCCCATCATTCCTTCGTTGTCGCACAAAGCTCGGGCCGACCCGCCAACACTCCCTGGGCACCCACCATTCGGTCCAACCATCAGACCCCGTGTCGCACACCATGCGTGCGCAGCGTGCGCAGAGTTGCCGTTCTCCCCGAACGGGTTCCAGTTGTGTTTCCGCGCATGGCGAGGGAGGCATTGAGGCCATGCACATTGCACAGCCCTCCACAGCCCTGCTCCGACCCAGATGGTGTGCTGTTTGCGTCGTTGGTTTTGGCCGGCCGCCACTGCACGGCCAAGGCCTCGGAAGGTAGTTCTTCTCTCATAGTAGCTTCTTGCTCCTAGTAGCGATGCCCTTTGCTCCTAGTAGCTTAGTTCTTCTCTCAATTTCATAAGTCTCACCGTTTCGTTTTCTCCACGCACTCCAGTGGCACAGGACCTTGATGCTGTTGCTGGTGCTGCAGCCAGTCATGTCTCCCCTTCCGCCCGCCTGCTAAACTGCCACGGGTCGCACAATCATTGATGCCGACACTGGCCTCTTGGATTCAGCAATCACTTCTCCTTTCTTCCAGGCAAGCTGGCCTTAAGTGCGCAGATTGCATCTTCCACGGCTGCGGAAGTACCAAGGCGAACTTCACGAATCTAATTAAGAGTGCCGGGGGGCGGGGCTTCGCTGGCAGAGCGGCGCTGGGCAAAATGGAGTATCATGTCCCGAGCTTTGCTGTGCTCACTTCACTCCAAGATTTTGCCTTTTCGCAACTTTGCAATGTTCCACATTTTGAGTTGCCTGATCAAGCTTTGAAGTGCGCAATTTGGTCTTTGACTTGCGTGCCGTTCATGATTGCAATGTTATGGATTCTGAAGTTGCCCAGGTGTGTTGCGCGCACTCCGCAGGCGTGTGGTGCAAATCGACAGCCGCGCTCCTTGCCTTCCAGGCTGCTGTCCTCAAATTTTGCGCGAATGATCCTATCACGTTGACAGATGTAGGCGCCCACATATCCGCTCCGAAAGGCCCTTTGCATCTCCAGGCCAGTCGCAGGACTTGGCTGACATAAGAAGGACCAGAAGAGGATTTATAGACGATCTATAAATGCGACAAGTGGTTTTGGTCAGATAGTCCACTCAACCTCTGTTGGTAGGTTAGACGTCATTCGTGAAGGTCGCCGCCTGCCAATCAACACTCTCGAAACTCATCGCCTTTGTCGCCTCTTTGCGTGCCTGGAAGCATTGAATGTGCCGTTGGCCGTTGGCTTTTTTGATTCCAAAGCAATCGGCACCCCTCATGGCAGGAGCAGGCACGCCCACACTAACTTTGCCGCTGCCACTTGAGACTGCGCCTCGCTTGGGCCATTGGCATGTGTGTTCAAGGTTCTCAATAGCAGAGCGCAGAATGGCCCCAAAGCTCTTCGAGCTGTTCTCGTAAAGTCTCCCGCCTTTCCCAAAAACTAACGACAAGGGATGCGCCCAGAGAACCGGAAGAATACCAAGTTTTGCAGGCCCCATTCCCAGACATGGTCGACTTTCTGCAGTTGCTGCCGAAAGTCCATCAAGGCAACTCTGGAAAGAGCAGGTGTCCGCGTCCACAAAGAACCCTTGCGAGTCGCAGCGTGTGCAGTCAAGCACAAAGCAAAACATCCTTTCAAGTGCGTTGCGTTTTTTTTGCCAGCATCATACTTGCTTCTTGAGAGGCTTGGCCCATGAGGGGTTCCATCTATATACTTAGGCTCGTGGCAGGTGACAAGAAAAGACAGAAGGCCAACGGCGGAGGGAAACCCAAACAAGATGATCGAAGCTTTAGTGTTTCGTTTTGAATCTTGAGGGAGGTCATGAATTGCGCCGGTATCAGCCAATCACACAGCATGCTTCGGATGGGCGACGGGTCTTTGGCACCTTGACTCGGCGACAGCGTCAAGCAGGTTGCTGCTGCAACATGACATGTTGACAACGTGCGCAGCCAAAGCCACAGCGCGAAGCGCAAGACTGAGCTGTGCCCGGCTGAGGGCCAAGATGAGCAAGCCACGACGCCGTCAAAAGGAGGGCAGTGCGGTGACTTTGAGTTCTGACTTTTGCGTTCCACACGGGGGAGCCGCTGAATTGACATGCACTTGTCCGGCGAGTGTGTTCCTTTGAGTTTTGGACCGTGCACTTTCATGGCCTCCCCACTGTAGAGCTTGAAAATTTCGACAGATGGGGCGTACTGTTTGCTTTTTGATTTATTTGCTCTGCTGACTCTCGGTGTGAATGTCAAACATTGGCCCGCCAGAAACGATATGAAGGTCCATTCCTTCTGCGGCTCGTTTGTTCGCTTGGGTTTTGCAATTGCCGACACCGAAAATGAAGAAGTCTATGCGCACATAGCGCAGACCACTCAGAGGACAACGCCGGATCCCGTGTAAATATACTGTAGATATGCTCGTGTTTGTGACCCACCCGATAAATGCTAATGGAGAGTGCAAAGCCGGGAGCCCCGGCAGGCCCCAAGCAGGCTTTGGCTTCTTCACGTTTGCCAAAACTCTGGAACATCACAAGCCATGCATCCTAAGGCCGCGGCGTATTGCAGCGGTCGGTGTGGCCACACGAGTGGCAGAAGAACGAGGCCACGCAGTACAAGCTGGCAGCTGGCACATTGCCCAACACAGAGTGAATTTGTGCTTTGCCTGGCTGTTGGTACATTCATGGCAGATATACTGCATGAATCAACGACGTCACACCTCATGACTCAGATGGCATTTGTGGCCGTAGGAATTGGGAGATCACATGCTCAATGAAACTATGCATTTGTCGGCGCTGGTGTGCTTCAGGTGAGACAGTGGGTGGTCATGTTGGTTATGCCGTCAGATTGGATTCTAGATCTACCAGGCCAGGCAATTCAATTTGAGAAATGAGTTGTGAACACACAAGGTAATTATGGCGAGGTGGCAATCACTCTACCTCTTTGATCCTGATTGAAGTTGTGCTCGTGGTAGTTCCCCTCGTGGACCCCCCGGTTTGTGTACAAAAACAAGGTCAAACATCTTGAAACGGCCAGTTGCAGCAGAGGTGAGGCAGCGTGAGAGCACTAACATGCATAGGCCGCAGAGCCTCATTTTTGAACACCCTAAGGCCCTCAAAGCTATGAACAACATTGAACAACAGAGGTTTCCACATACAAAAGTTCTATAAAGTTCTAGGGAAACAAGTTTTTCTTGGTTTGTGGGCCGGCCCCATATGCCTGATCCGACCGGGTGACTTAAATTAGGACAAGTCTTGTCTTTTTGTTTGGAGTTCTCGGCTTCCCCGCATTTTATCACTGGCGGTTCATCCAAAAACCCAATAGAATCGGAACCCCAATCCGCCAACCAATGAGCTGCACCCTGCACAGACACGGGGCAGGTATACCCGGCTACTCTTCTGCACCACGGGAGTGTTGCTGAATCGCTTGAACGCATCACCGGACTTGGAAGGGTCGGGAATCCTGGAGACTCCAATTGGATGTAGGATCGCCATCTGAACAATAGTTGGCTTGCGCATGCTTGCACACATCGCAATCACAATAAATCGCGGATCCGGGACTTCCGATTTCTTTTAACATGTTGGCTTTAGTTTGGTTTCTCTTTTTGGTGCTTAAGTGTGTTTATTATCGCTTTCAATGTGTTTGCTTCCCTTTGGCTTGCATGCTTGATGCAGTATTTGGTGGTCCCACTGAGGGTCACTCACATTGTGCTCGACGAAGTCCATGAAAGGAGCCTGTATGTGTAGAAAGGCATGCGGCATGGACATAGTCGGCAAGCGGGTGACACTCACACTCGATCAGGGACATGAATGCCAATCTCAATCAAGGTCCATCTTGATGTGCTTGCTTCGTCCCTTTTGCGAAATGGCATACGCGTTACTGTAATATTACATGATATTATATATATACACTTTATATTTCAGGAGCCTTCACACTGACTTTTTGTTGACAATCCTTCGTGAGCTCCTCTATCGGCGACCTGATCTGAAGCTCGTGCTGATGTCCAGGACTCAGTGTTTTAGAGGCCATCTCAAACCATATTGCCGTTCTGCTGTGTAATGATAACTTATATTGCAGCTGTTGTCTACAATGGATTGGTCCGGTGGTGAGTCAATGTCAGGTCAGCAACGATGCAACAGAGCATATTTTCCGATTACTTTGGCGGTGCCTCGGCGAAATTCGTCCCGAAACATCGAAGACTTGGCTCTCCAAGGCCTGGTGGACGGGGATGAACCCCGCGTGCCCGTGATCAACGTATGCGGCAGCATCTGAGCCCAACGATGTTGATTTGATGCAACGCTGATTTTGCTGCCTGTGGTTGACATACACATGTATGTACATCACATGTCCTTTTTTTACAATGCCCCCCTGGCTTTTGGTTAAAGCCCTTCCAACAGTGTCGATCCTACATGACTCACATTGCTGTTGAGGAACTTATCCGGTGACTGTGCGCTATGAAGGCCAAGCGCAGGTGGAAAGCACAGATTCGTCTCACCAGAATTCAGAATCTTGAAGTCTTGAAGCAGCAGGTCTCGTGATGTGCTGATGCTCCGTAGAATGTGGAACTTGTGCCTTTCATTTGCCTGTTTGGTCATGTTGGACAACACAATGGGCCCATGAGCTCGTGCACCCGGAGGAGAGTATGATTTCCCCTAAGCTCGACGTTTGCCGAGGCTGCGTCCAAAGGGAGTCCCATCGGTCCAGTTCGTGCTGAAACTGTTGATGTGGAGGACTTGGTGAAAATCCTGCACCACTTGAACGGGAAGCATTGGTACTTGCAGTGGGGTGGGTAATTGCAAGCTAGGTGGTGCAGAGTTTTGTCCCAAGTAGGGTGTTTCAGGGCCCCTCCTGGAATCATTGCCAGAATGGCAGCAATAGAAAAGAATTACGGTAAGCAGGCAGGCGTGATGTAGACAGACATCATCCTTGAAGCAGTCGTACAGAGTTGCTGATTGCAGCAGGACGCAGAGTTTGAGGCGGAGGCCGATGGGAGCCTTTTGATGTTTTCTGAGCTTGTGGTGTTTCATGTGCATGTGCACCATGCACCACTTCACTTCGAAAATAACACATTCCGTCAGGCATGTTGTACGATGCAGGATGCCAATAATGAGTCATGAGGGTTGTGGCCGGACACGTAGGTATATTAAAATTATATACCCATGGCATACATACCCCTTTTGACAAAAATGATTGCAAACTCATGCTTGGTGCAGCGTTTGCCCTAGGCTCGCTATTAAACCTTCAATTATTGGAGGAAAAGACACGCCCTACAACACTATTGAAGTGGATTGACTACTGTGAAAGGACACTGCAGCATTTCCATAAACACATGCAAATGCAATTTCAGGTGATATTTACACTGCCGAAAGAGAACTTGCCAAGATTTTAACATACCTGAAAAGAGGGAAACAACAGAGGGAGACAATATGTACAAATGCAGATGGAGTTCAGGTAGGAGTGATTTTGTAGTAATGGCTGACTTACTAATCCATGCATCCTGTAGCCAAGTACATTTGCAGGATTGAGTGATGCTTTGAATCTTTTGAAGAGGTCTTTAAGGGGCATTGCGTAATATTGAATTGATTTGGACCGAGATTGAGGTCTGGGAAAGGTGTATTCAAGGATTCATTGCCAGAAGGGAGCAAGCACGAAACGTTTGGTCAACATCTACTGCAGCATGCGTCATCCCTTGTGAAAGGATCTCTTGCCTCCAGAAAAGAACTCCATACTTGTGGGTGTGCTTTTCAGGACTTCATCCGGAATTGTGTTGACTTTAGCTTGGCTTATATAAATGTGGTGGCAGACTGCTTTGCCCTGTTGAACTGACCGAAGGAATTTTAGAGTTGCGCCCCCTGCGAAACAGAACACATTGCATGAGAGTTCAGCTTTCACAAAGATCAGCGCTTTACCTGGCAAATCCATCCCTACCAACGAATGCATTTGTTCCGAAGTCAAGCGTTGAAGCTCATCCTTAATTTGGCAGGTGAAGCGACAATATGGCAGGGGTGCTAAGGCAAGAAGTGCGAAGAGTTGCGCCAAATCGCAGCAGGGTTTGTTGATGAGCGATGCATTGGGCATACAGGCCAGCTGAACTCTCACCGACAAGAAACTATGCTAAGATGTTCAGATATGTTCAGCATAAGTAAAGAAAACTAGATGAAGTTGGGAGCACGGGTTATATAAAGGGGTGGAATCAACGGAGTAAATTGATATATATATATATTAATACCATATAAATATACTAGGATGCACATTGGGAAAGATTTGCGCACAGTTGGGGAAAATGCGTTGCTTTTTGATGGTTAAGCCACTGTGGGTTTGCTGATGTGCTGCCAGGAGATTCGAATTTCACCAGCCGTGCAGAGCAGTGACTTGGCATGACTGAGCAACGCTTCCACCAAGAACACTGCGCTTGGGCCGTGAGGATTCATGGCTTTATTCGCTGGACATGCGGTACATATTGAAAGCATGACAGAAATCCACACAGCGAAAGTCATCCTTTTATCCTCCCTTTTCTTGACTAATTCAACAGGAATCGTTCATACATGATGCATGTCCCTTGAAATTGTATCTTTACATATACGTCCCATATGTATGTACATATATAATATATATAGAACTGAACTTTCATTGCTAATATGATGCACCTTCTTACTGCCATTCCTACCAGTTGTCCAAAATCACAGTTGTCGAAAATCACATCCATCTTGGACATGATCAATTTGTTCCCCTACTGAGATGCGCGTGCTGCTGTGTCTCTCTCGCAGGTGCCGATCTTCGACAAATTGCAAACCTTTGTGCTGCCATCCTTACCGGCAGCTCGACCAAGAACGATGCACGTGAACAGCATGAACATGATGAAAGGGGGTTCTGCTTGATGTGTTACATAAATGTGATGGGATTCTTTTCCGGCGCCCTTGCACAGCCCCGAATTGTACAACTTGCCCAGCTGTGTGAATTGGCGTGTTTGTGTTTGTGATTCTTTGAGGGTGCGAGAGTCCAGGCAAGTATGAGCCAGATGAAGATGGGCAGGAAGAAAGAGGCCACTTGCTGACATATTGTCCATGCAGTCTTTTCAATCTATGGGCCAAAAGGAATGCAGCAACTTATTGTTGTCCTGACTATGTCCAGCACTTTGGTAATTAGGGGTGATTCGTGATTCTGAGTTTGGGAGAATCTATGACAACCTGTGGTGTGGTGGTTCACAGAAAGGGGTGGTGATGAGTTATTTTGGGTTTTGACTGGTAGAACTGGTAGAAGTAGCTGGCTACGTGGCTACACAATTTGGTCAGGACATTGATTTTTCTGCAGAACATGCACCTGGCATTTGTCGGAATTCGAGATGAGTGAACAGCCAAAAATCTCAGCTGCAGGTGGAGCAGGAGGTGCCATCCTGGTTTTTCTGCCTGGTGACAATCTTAGCTGGGGTGAGCATATTTGGCCTCTACTGAGCTGCTGAAGATCAATCAAAGTGTATAATTAGGCTATTCCTCCCTGACTCATATTGCTGATATGGCAAAAAGTTTCACTAATTTGATGCATGCTGAGAGAACTATGATGAAATCTGTGTTGAGCAGTTTCTGCAACTGCCGCTGGCGCTGATTGAGTGCAGTTTTTCATGCCACATGGCAGCCGTGGCCCAAGCAGGCAGAGACTGCTAAGTGTTCACTCGGTTTTTACTCTCGCATCCAACAAGCAATATGGCAATGTGGGAGGTTGTCGGTGGAGCAGACAAGGGTGGCATTCTTGTTCGTGAAGCTGCTGACCTGAACTCTTCATTCATCGCCACTCGATTGGCAACAGGGGCGCAGGTCAAAGAATTGGAGTTTCGAGGAGAGGAGGGCCGCCTTTGCTATGAACTGGTGGAGGGCTCCGGCCCAGCCACCGGATGGGTCACGGTGAATCTCAAGGGAAAGGATTTGCTTGTGAAGATGGAGCCGAAGGAGCAGAAGATTGAGGTGGAGAAGATGGTGGAGGTGATCAAGGAATCGGAAGTGTCCACCAGTGAAGGAGAAGTCGCTGAAGCCACCGAAGAAGCCGTCAGCCCTGCCAACATGAAGCCAGTTGAGGTGAAAGAAAAAGAGTTGTCAGAGCATGAGAAGGAAGCATTCAAGCAGTATTTGGAGAAGTTTGGAGAGAACCGCGATGGTGGCAATCCGGGCTACAACCGCAAGTCCTTCCCCTGGGCGGTCAATCATGCAGCCAAGCGCACCACTCCCAAAGAAGCCATCGAAGCAGCTCTTGCTGCGCCAAAGCCCCGCAGGGAGCGTCGCGCAGGACATAGCTCTATGGACTCGGATGGTGAGGAGGTGCCTCTTTGCACTCGATGTTTGATGCCTGTGGGTGAATTCGCCTATGAAGGCCGGGAGGGCCGAGGTAGCTGTGTGCATGCAGAGTGCATGGCTCAAATCTTGGTGGAAGATGCCCAGCGACAGGAGGACCGTCGGGCTGGATGGGAGAACGAGAAGAAGTTGAGAAGCCGAAAGGAATATGATATCGGCTGGCGCATGGATAGTGTGCCCCAAAATGGTCCCTTGGCGGCACGTTTGGGCTGTGAGACCACCGAGCGCGGCTATTGCTGCTTGGTCTTGGATGAAGCCTCTCGTACCGTGAAGGTGGCACCAACATTGGAGCCAGCGGCTGGGGTGAATCTGGAGTATCTTTTGCTGGCCTTGAAGGTGAGGAAGACGGCCTCAAGGGAGCCGCTTTTCTCACTGGACCCAGTTGACCCTCAGAATTTGGAGAAGACCCCACAGAAGAAGGTCTACGAACCCAGCTGGCTTGCTGGAACCAGTGTGGGGGATGTGATGTTCCAAGCTGACTATTTTTTGAAAGAGCTTGCCCTTGGTGAGTATGACATGCCAGTGGCCAGGATGCTCAGCGTCTTTGATTGGTCCGAATTGTCCGACAAGGACCGAACATGGGCTGGGCGTGAGTGGTTTGTGGTGAGGAAGGCCGAAGTGCGCCTGGCACAAGACAAGACCTTGGTGCCTTTCGTGAAAATGGGTGTGGAGGCCAGGGAGCAGGTCGTCACAAAGAAGGGTCTTGAGGATGCACCAGTGACAGCTTCCAATCATCCCTTGAAGAAATTTGCGGATTCCTTCAGCCGACACTTTGATCTCATCGCAGAGCGCAAGAGTGTGGTCTTCCATCTTCGAGAGCTGGCCAAGGCTTCCGTCATGGCCAAGTACTTGGTGGATTCGCACATTCGCGTGGATCCGCAGTGGCACCGCATTGCTGATGAGATTGTGAAGGCCACTCCCAAGGAAGAGCATCCAGAGATCCCGCAGCTGTGGAACATGCGTGGCAATTCCCGCATCCAGCTCAAGAACGGTCGCTTGATCGACATGTTCACCGGCGGCCAGAAGAATCTCCAGGCCATCTATGGTGGAGTGGAGTTTGGTTTGGACCGCTTTGAGCTGGCTCAACGCCACGCCTTGCAGGGTCAAACGGGTATGCAGCTGGGTCAGTCCGGACGGCCCATGTTCATGCCACAGAGGTTCCAGCTGGGTCAGAGGGCTGAGATGCCACAGGGTGTGGATCTGAACTTGGACAAGTTCGATTTGAGCAAGGCGGACCGCTTTGCATCCATGCCTCCCTGCAGTGGACAGCCGGGCTCCCTGGAGACCAAGGTGACCTTGGGAAAGGCCTTCCTGCAGAGCTTGAACAGTCGCGAATATGAAGATTTGAAGCCGGAGTACCAGGAGATCCTTGTCAAGGTCTTCCATTCACCCCAGTGTGATCGTATTGAAGAAGGTGATTCTTTCATCCCTCCAGATCCCAACATGGAGTACACCTCCAAATTGAGAAGCCACATCCATGAGGAGAAGTCTTTGCTTGAGAGGCGCAAGCTTCACTTTTGCGACAAGAGCTTCAAGGTGGGCAATGCAGGGCATGACTTCCCGAGGCTGGGTCGGGTCTCACTCGGCTTCTTTCACGTCCTCTGCTTCCTCCTTTCTCATCGTTTCTCAATTTTTCTCCAGATGCCCGATTCAATGTCACAATTCTTGTCCTGGAAGACCGATGCAAACACAGGTAAAATAAACTATGGTAATATTGACCGTCGTTTGGTTTGTCCATGTCAGAATGGCCAGGTCCTGGACCTCCCGCTTTCAAATCGAGAAGGATGGCAGTGCTCCCAAAACCGAAGCCGCCAACAAGACAGGCTTGGTGAAAGTGGAGATTGATGCCGCCCATGCCACTGCTTTGGCGAATGATATCCTGCCCACGGCAGCCCCCGAGTTCCAGGAGAAGACTGAGGATGGAGCCGTCTTCCGCATCTACAAGATTGGCAGCTTGGAAATCCGAACAACACAAGAGAAGTTTGGGAAGGAGCAGGTGGGAGTGGTCTATTCCAGCCGTGCCCCTACTTGGAACTTGGCTGCCACCTCTCAAGATTTGTCAGACCGGGAGAAGGTGGTTGAATGCAAGGTCTTCCTAGAGGCTGCGGAAGGGGATGCTCAAGGGAAGCAGCCGCATCACTTCTACATAGTGTGCACCACTGTGAACAAGAACGTCATTGTCACAGAGAAATTGGCCAATGGCTCCACCACCTTCTTGGTGAACCCCAAGAACTTGGAAGATCGCAACTCCTTGGCCAAGCAGCTCTTCAAGTCGGACTGCCTTGAACAGGCAACTGTCAAGGATGTGAAGACGCAACGTGCCAACTTCAACAAGACGCTTGAGGCGAACCTCTCAGCCCGAAAACAGTATGTGAAAGCTCTCTTCAAGCAGCTCACTGGGAAGACATTCAAGGGCAAGTGGGGTGGTTTCATCCGTCGCTATGCAGGACCTTCGGTTTTCTTGGGTCGACCTTCTATGATGCTTCCAATGGACCGCAACTCCGGGCTCGGCAATGGGTCCTGGACCGCTGGCAAGAAGAAGTGAAGGGTAATGAAGCAGGGAAGGCCGTAGCATAGCACATATGAATATATATAGGGTACAGCGCAATCGGGACCAGAGGGGTTGATTGGGCTCTTTCCGCATTCTAATGCTAATGTGGCAAGATGTACAATCCATAAACCATATCATAAACCACATGACATTGTCACAGCAGCAAGTGGGCTACAAGATGGCAAACCCGGCCCCGGTTGCATCTCATTCTCCAGTGCTCCAAGCATTGATTGACTGGCCTGTGAGACTGTACGAGACCATAGGTAGCCTCTAGTCCAAGCAGCAAGCATAGACAGAGACATGTTTGACACATGCTGTGCATGCGATTGAACATGACTGTTTGACAGGTTGCACAGGTTTGTATGCTGCCTTGCTCACGGCATGCTGCAGGGGCTCAATGCCAGCTTCATATCGCGGGCATTTCTCTTCCGCTTGCGTGATAAAACAAGGAGTGAGGCGCTCGGCCTAGGCCAATGTACAACGAACCGCTTGAACTGCAGCTACAGATGTTAGCAAACAGTGTCTTGCTCGCGACCTGTTTCACATCTCTGCTCCAACAGGTCATGCTGAGATTGAGAACTGCATCAGCCAGTTGAAAGGGCAAAGAGGTGGGGGTTGGGACTGTGCCAATGCCAGCAGAATGCTCAATCTTCTAGATGTTTTCTAGCCGTTACTCGCCTGCCGTGTTCGAGGTGATCGGGCTTGGATTTTGCCTTTGCACGGCTCCATGTCTGTGCAACAGCAGCAGCGAGTCTTCAAACGCCCCCCAGCACAGCTCTCAGATTTCTTCATGAGCACCGGCAGTGCATGTGTATATAGATGATAACTATATATTTATAACGATTGAACTGTGAATGTGTCCACATGAACATGTTGGAATTCGCTTAGAAGAGTACACAGTTTACCCCGAGTTTGCCAGAGCCGTCCTACTGCACTCTGAAGCTAAGGCAGGACAACGCAAGATCATTGCAGTGAACCCAGTCCAAAAACTTGATGCAAGCATATGATCGAACATATGGGCTGCAGGACATGTCTCAAGCAACACCCTTTTCAGTGTGAACCTGTTGGCAAGTCTTGTGCCATGCACCTTGCTAGCCTTGGGGCAAGTTGGCTCAGATGCCTCAAAGTGTGATTGCACCTACTTGACCCAAGACATCCCAAGACCTTAAATGTTGGCTCTCAAAGCATACAGGGCCGTCAAGTTGTAGATGTTTTGGTTGCGGAAGGTCTCCAGCTGCAAACCCTTTGCGCCATGGGGTGGTGACTCAGCTGCCATGGACGGCTCCACTGCGCCCAGCGTGGGCCTCTTCTTTGCATCGCAAACAGGCCATGTTGAATGGGGGGCGTCTTTGGGCTGTGCAGCATCTACAGGTGCAAGTCAATTCAACGCCTCGATGCTCACAATCGAGAATCCAGACATGTTCTTATGAGCCTTCTGAAGCAATGTGTTTAACAGCCTGTAGCTTGGAATACAGGATTTTGTTGGACGGACCCATGTGACCATCTCGATTGAGCACACCAGGAAGTGGTCCACCTTATGTTTACGAGGAAGTGGTCCAGCCCTAGTGAAGTGCAGCAGCATGTCGCAAGCCAGAGGCACTGCAGAAGAGACTGCCTGGGAGTTGGCCAGAGAAGGGCGCCGAAAGGGCTATGCCATGGAACCTCGAGCGATGGTGCCCGGGCTTCGGCGGGAAAGACATTAGCTTTCCTCGTGGGGCGCGCGCGTTTGGCTTTTTCGATTGGTTGAGCGCTTCTAGCAGCTTCAAAATTTTCTGTGATGGAAATGAACCACCGTCAACAGTTGTGGTTGCATTCTGCAATGAGGTTACCCACAGCACATTTCAGGATGGAACGAGGTATTTTCGCCTGGACTCACATGAACCAATCGCCAAGACTCACCAAGAGCTGTAAGGATTCATGTTCGGCTGCCCCATTTCAACGCCAGGAAGCTGAAGTACGACTCATTCAAGTGATTTATTATGCTTTATCGTATGGTTTAACCCCCGAAATGGGACGGAGTCGTGCTGCCACGGGTGGAGTTGTTCGTCACCTAGGATGAGATCAGCCTGGAACAGTTCGATGCTTAGCCTTTCTGCGCAGAGTGTGATGCTCATGGCAGTTGAGAGTCACAAAGGGTTTGTTCCTGGATCAAGGTGGTTGGAATAGACATGTTTGGCTTGGAGGAACCCTAGCACTGTGCAAGTTGTTCAACTCTTTTTTCAGATGTCGGATGTGGAGCTTAGAGTGCTTGGCCACAGGACTGCCTACCAAGGTTGCGCAAGATCCGAACAGCAGTTTTCATTGTTTCCACGACCGGCCAAGGCGTGGCGCATGTCGTTGACCCACCAAATGTTTACGATTTGGTTGGATGGCCAGGCGATCCACCGCTGAACATGCGGAAGCTTTGGCAAGAGCTGCTGCAGGCCTCGCTGCCTGCTACGTGGCCTGGCGTGGTTTTAATAATATGATTACAGTTTTGAATTTGCGGAGGGTTTGTGTCGCCTCATGCGACAAAGGTGCCACTCTCAGCGTTTCCCCTAGGCTTTTGCAGGGATTGTCTTTTGCAGTCTTTGGGCTGGGCGACCGTCGGTATCGCGAGTTCAACTACGCAGTGACTTGCCAATGGTCAATGCACAAGCGAAAGTTTACATGGCTAGCCTCGTCTCTGCAGAACCTTTAACTTAGGCACGAAAGCTCCATGGAAGGCTTCAAAACTTGGGTGCGGTTTCTTTCTTTCGATTGGGCTTGGGAGATGACCAACATGACTTTGGCACGCTACTCAGATAGGGCGGTTCGCCAGCTGGTTGTGACGTCAAATGGTCCAGCAGCTAGCCGTGAGCGCACTAGCAATCTACACCAATCTTTCTTTCAGCTTTCGTTTGGGCAAAGTGACGGTGTCGTTGCTCTGCTGTATTAGCACTCTTCATTTTGAGGAATGGAGCAAGAGTTGGAAACTCGGTTGCAATTGGCAAAGTCTGACCTGGCTCCGTGGCTGACGTCTTGTGCCAAACTGGCTGTGAAAAACAGCTCATGGACCTGAGGATCCATGGAGTGAAGGAATGTGGGCAGCATTAGCGGAAAAGATTTCACCTGGACAGCCAGATGAGGATGTAGACCTTCGATATGAGGCGCATAGCCAAGCAAATGGGAGAAGCAAAACACCATATAGAACGCCATAAGACGTTTGGTGAACTCAATGCCCGTCTTTTAGCTGCCAGCTTATGTATAGACAGATCATGATATATCATGATAGATCAATTTGATGAACATCGGGCCACCATCATGCTATACAATGGAAGCAAAACCATTGGATGCCACTTTCCAGGTTGACGAGCTTGGAGAGATCCAGAATGGAGAAGCTCATGACGTGCTGGCCCCTTCAATTCTTGAAGAATAGCGCGGGAGTTGCAGTTTACCCCGAAGACCACAAGCAACGTCCCAAAAGAGGAGGCTTTCCAAACCCTTCTGCTTTGCCATCATAGGGTCAACGTGGGTCAATACCTTTTAGTTCTTGAAGCGTGATGTTGGCATGGGTCATCATGGGCCATTGATTTTCCCAATGACTTGGCGTGTACGGCACTGGGCCGAATGAACAGGAGTCGCTTGTTCAATGTACCGTTCGCCGCCCTGGCGGTGGTTCGACCCCCCCACAACAGTGTTCAACATGTTCAGCTTCTTGGCTCTGTTTTTGGGTTGCTTCTTAGTAGTTTGGGTGAGGCGTATCGTCGCGGCCTTTGGCATGTGAACACACAGATCAGAGAGCAAAGGCCACAGTGGATGTTGTTGGGTCCTGTGGTAGTCGTGAACGGGAACTATATCGTACCGCATGTTACCTACGCATGCCCTATGTTTATGCATGTTTGTTGTGTGCTGGTGACCAAGCCGGTGATGAATTGTCGCAATCATGCTCTCTCGAATCGGTTTTTCTTGCTGACCATTCGGTTAGGGTTCAGACTTGGCGGTTTGTAGACTGAAGGGCGAATGTTTGGAACGCATCCAGGCCTGGTCAAAATTCAGTTATCATGAATCATGAGACGAAGGTTTTACAGCAACCATGCGCACATGCTGTTTGAAAAGGGCGCATTCAATTTGTTGTGATGTTATATTTTTGGGGGGTTAGCCGCGCCTTTCAAGCTTCATAACCTTCAGACATAGTTGCATGGGAGCATATAGATTGGCAAATAGACAAGGCTGGACCAACGATGCTTGAAATATGCGCAATTGAATGAAGCTAGTTTGGGCCCAACAGACGCTGCTCATCGCTTTGCCATGTCTCTCCTGTCCAAATGTTGTTCACATGGTGTTCTCCCAGCGCTTCACTCTTTCCGGAGCTTCTGTTTCCAGGGTCCCTTGCGAAGATATCGTCCTTGTGGAAGACGAGACGGATGCACCGCATTGCTGGTTGATGGAGATGCCATAGGAGTTGCCACTACCTACGAGGCTATTGACCTCTTAAAGGATTTGGACGACACCTACCACGATGGCCAAGTGAAAACGCTTCTCTTCGCCGCACCTCGAAGTCGGACCAATCGAGAATGGCAGCGATTGATCAAGCGCCATCATGTCGAACTGCGCGAAGTACACCGGAGTCGCTACGGCGAACCGTCCGATGAAGCGATACTGATGGAATTAAAGTGCCTGGCATCATCAACACCTGTCTCCTCTATTGCCTTATTAACCCGCGACAGAGGTTTCGCAAATATGGTGAGTGATATTCTTGCAGCCAAGAAGGCTGACTTTCAGATGAATGGGCGCAGCAAAAATGATTCTATATCATGAGTTTGCATGAAAGTGTTGACTATCATTAATTTTCCTTGTGTGTATAATGTCACTAAATGTTTTAAGTTTTTTGGCATACTCGCGTGCATAGGTAAAGCACCTGAGGGTCCGAGTTTCACCTTGAGGTACTGGTTCTCATTCCTGCCACCTCTCAGGGTACAGCCGAAGTTTACAAGGCCACTGGTGCTGAAGTGTTTCTGCTTGAGGCGTCCAAATTTGCCTACAAAGTTCGTGCCATCCTTCATCCAGATGGACGCGGAACAGTTCAACGCATACCAAAGGGCTTAGTGGTTCCAAGTGGGGAAGACCTTGAATCCATGCATCATGCTGCGAAAGAGCTCTTGAAGAAATTGGGCTATATCCAGGCAGAGGAGGAGTCTGTCACAAGTTCAATTTCTGCAATTGCAAAATTCTGGTTTGCCAACTCCCTGGGATCCCTCACTGTTTATCCTAATCAATGTGCAGTTGAGGTCTTGCACCAAACGTTGCTGCGTGACAAGTCGAGGAAGTGGTGCAGCTCTGGCCGAAACCTCGCCTTTTTCCTGCCCGTGGTTGGTGTACGAAAGTTTAGCGGTGAATACAAACGCCGCGTGGAGGAGCACGGGAATGAGCTTGCGTACAAGATTTTCGAGGGTGGGGGGCCCTTTGTCTTGAAGGACTCCGCGGATATGGTGAAGGGAGCTTTGACACGTTTGAAATACTTGAACTTGGATTCCAGGTCGCTAAATTCCGACGTGATGGAGGCCATGCAGGTTTTTGCCAACACGAGTAGGAATAAAGCCAATTTGCGCAACATGAGCCTCATGCCATCACCTAACGACACATTGGACCAAGCACAGCTGAAGTTGAGAAGGGCATTTCTGTCGAACAAGTGTGGCGGGGCATGGCAAATGCCGGTTCCAGATCTTGCAATCCGATATTTCCTGCTCAATCGAAGATTAATCCCTAGCATCAGTGTTTCGGAGCCGGTAGTACTCAATGCCATGCAGAAGTTTGGGCAAAGCCAACGGCTGCCAGAGATGAAGACTTACAACGGTTATGTGTCTCAACTTGGGCACCTCATTACCGCAGATGATCCTGCACGCCGAGACATGCCTGCCTTCGCCCGAAAGCGATGAAGAGTGTAGTGCCTGAGCAAGAGAAATAGGACGATCCCAGCCTGGCCATTTTAGCTCTACGCTGTGCCACT